GGCGGGAGCGCCGCCGCGCTCCCAAGTGGTGCACTGTAGCAGTGCGCCACCAGGCCGGCCCCCTCAAATTCAGTTCTGATCTTTATTTTCTAACTGAAAGATTCTGCTCTGCATAGAATGTTTCTTTTCACCGTCATTGTTTGGTGATGTTCAGACTAAAGAGAATGATCCTATCTTATTCTCCTTTTCTTGTATTAAATGTAAATTATTCCAGAACATTCTGCCTGCTCTCCCATTTCCTCTCCTTTCCCTCATTCCTCCTGCTTTGGAAATGGGTGGGTGGGTGAGGGGAGCTCACTCTGGTTGGGTGATGAAGGGAAGCGCACCTAGGTCTCATTTCTCTCTCCCCACAAGCCCCATTCACTGGAACAGTGCCAGCAGAACCAGCACTTGATGATACTTGGTAAATCTGAATCATTATGCAAGTGCTTGATGCAACTGAAACTCTGTGATTTCTTCTTCCAGGAGAATGAATGCATGAGAATTAAAATTTTAGGAGACTGCTACTACTGTGTGTCCGGACTCCCTATATCGCTCCCTAACCATGCCAAGAACTGCGTGAAAATGGGACTGGATATGTGTGAAGCCATAAAGTAAGTGCACTGCTCTCAGTAAGGCTCGTTATTTAACTGCTTAACAATTTTGAGTTGTAATCCCTATCTGAATCTACTTCACTTTTTTGTCTACTGGTACCAAATACATTTTTTGCACATTTAAATATAAATGTGCAGAGACCCTTTTATTGGCATGTGAGTAACTCAGTCTGAAGTAAGACTTATAAATGTTTAGTATTATTACTGTTAGACTTAGGTCACNCATTTTATGCACATTTAAATATAAATGTGCAGAGACCCTTTTATTGGCATGTGAGTAACTCAGTCTGAAGTAAGACTTATAAATGTTTAGTATTATTACTGTTAGACTTAGGTCACAGTAATACTGACAAAAATCTATAGGAACAGACTATTTTGTTCATTTCAAAGGTGATTTTTTAAAAAATTGAAAGTGTTTTTTGATCTTAAGGAAAAAGTCTGCTCTCGTAGAATCGCTCTGATTTCTGACAAATAATAAAGCTACATACACATTTTAAGGGAGAAAGTAGTTTTAACCACCAGACTGCAATTAATATAAAAATCCAGTATGAAGTTACTTCATCTAGTCAAAAATTGTCAGCTCTGTGAATTTAGTTTCAATTTAATATATGTTTTCTGCATTGTATTTCTAGCTTTTTAAAAATTGTGATTCTAGAGAAGATTTGCTTACATAGAACCACGTTATCACTTCCATTGACAGGTACACAGTAAAGGTATTAGGTAAAAAGGTCGTTTTTATTACCAGTTCTGTGATTCATCCTTCTTTAGTAATGCTTTGTAGAAGCCAGAAAGAATAATCTCATAAATTATTAAATAATCTTAAAAAACTTTTCTTGCTGATTGCATGTTTAAAAGATTTTAGTTTATTGGGTTCTTTGATTGTCTGTTTAATCAAGTGATTTGACCTTATCCTTCACGTATTTTTTTTTTTATCTGAACAGGGCTGAATTATGTGCTTGACATTCCAATTCCTTGTCTCAGATTAGAGTAAATGGGGCTCTCAGTGAGAAGGCAACAAGTCCAGTTGTCACTGTATTTAGTGCACCGTGTATGTTGGTCACATGCTGGAGTGATGAAAAGGTTTGTGGGTGGCTTTCCTGGTGTGTCCCGGGAAAAAGAGTGGAGCCCCCACAGCCTCAGCCACTGTTCTGAGATCTATCAGTCAGAGACCTGTGTGTTCCAGATCCCCCAGCTCAGTCGCAGATTACCGCAGGCCGCACTGCTGGACAGGTCAGGAGTGGTAGGAGAGGCAGGGGATGTTGATGAGGGAGTCGAGATGGGAGGAGTGGTCAGCCTGCACTCAGTTTCCCCGCACGAAATACATCTCGTGGGAAATAGCTGTGTTCCACTTGCTCCTTCCCATGAGTAAGTCTTTGTCTTCTCTGATGCACGAATCTTTTTTCCACTTTTTTCAAAAGTAACTAACTACCTGTGATCCTACAGGACTAGATGGAAATGAATCTAATTGGTAGAACTAATAAGTTTTCTGCAAATTTGTAACCTGCCCCTGGAGGCAAGCTCGTTGTTCATTTCAAATACAAACTTGAAAGGTGCTCTATTGGGGGAAAGCATTTTTCTTGATTTCCTTTTCAGATAGATGTGGGAAAGATTTTTATGAAGGACAAAATTTTGTGCATCAATAACATTGGATTAAACAAAATCCACCCTTTCACTTAACCTTGGTTTCTGCTCTTGAATCAACTGTTTTTTATTTCCATTATGTTTAAGTTATTCTGGTGTGAAAAACTTTTAGGAGAAAGAATCCTTACATTACATTCACTGGCATGTCACCAGTTCATCAGAAATATTTCTTTTTCCTATTACATTGTTTTTATTGTGTAAAATATACATACCATAAATACTACCCTTTGAGCTATTTTTATGTGTGCAGTTCAGTGACGTTAAGTACATTGAAAATATTGTGCAACCTCCACCGCTATCTGTTCTGGAACCTTTTTATCACCCCAAATAGAAACTGTACCCATTAAGCAGTAACCTCCATTCCCCTCCTCAGCCCTTGGTAATCTCTGTTCTACTTTCTGTCTCTGAATTTGCCTATTCTAGGTGTTTCAGATAAGTGGAATTATACTTTCCTTTCGTCCTTTTGTGTTTGGCTTCTTTCATTTAGCATAACGTTTTTGAGGATCATTCATGTTGTGACATTTCTTGTTAAGACAGAATAACATTCCATTGTATGTATGTACCACATTTTATCCATTCATTGTTGAGCATTAGTAATAAATTATGTGTCCAGAGTCTCAGTAATGGCAGCAAATCTGAGGAAACTCCCTAACTCTTGCTTATCCCTAAACTTATTCTTCAAATCAGGCAATGTCCGTGTGTCCCGGTGACTTGCCACTCACTGATAAGGGGTTCCACCTTCTTCCTCTATTATATATC